ATGTATGTATGTATGTATGTATGTATGTATGTATGTATGTATGTATGTATGTATGTATGTATGTTGTGTGTGTATTTGATTGAACTAAATCTATCGTTTCACTTTCGTTAAAAATTTATTCCCATGTGCGATCATCCTACACTTATCCAGTTGTTTCGTTTCAGAAATTTCACTTAATCAATCCGTATCTTCTCTCTTGCGTTGGCCTTTTGCTGGGCTTACGAGTTACCAAATGTTTTTGGAATACTGTGAGTTTTTTTTTTTTTTTTTTTTTTTTTTTAAATGCTCGTAAATGCACATTTTGACAAATTATACCTGTATATGTATACTTGTTCAGATTTTTCAGACCTAAGACTCTAGAGCTAGGAAATTCAGAAATTTGCAGAAATAGTCCCCGTCCGTGAGTTAGGCCATTAAAACAGCTTTCAGTTTTCCCATTGCCGTAGTTTTTGGTCTTAGCTATAAACATGAGAAGCTACAAAGTGAAACTTTTGTAACTTTAAATTATTGAATGAAGTGGTTTGAAGAAATAATTTGAGCTTAGCTTTCATACTCTCACGAGCCAAGCGAATTGTAAAGTTCTTGAATGCAGGTGAAATTCGACCCTTTAACTACTATACTTTCAGTTTTGGCCTCACTGTTAGATTTTTTTTGCATTGTTTCATGCATTCAAAGGTACAGATTCATTGCGCCGCTACCTTCGGTGGATTCGAATTTACCTTCCTGTTCCTTCTTCTGTCGCAGCCTTAGCCTGCTGCTTTTGTGCATGAGCTGCCGTTAGATTTTAAACTGTCCAGCATTTTGGTAAATTTCCTCCCATTCCCAGTACAATTTGATGGTTCAGCTTCAGAAGAAGCAAGCATGAATCCAAAATTTTAATGGTTGACTGGCGAGCTTCTGGTGGATAAAAGATTGTCGTAGGTATTTGTAAACTCCCTTTTTAGGGCGCTAGCTACTGGGTATTTATGAAGATGTATCAGCACTTAATCGCACCATACTACTACTCTTCATTGGGCTGTCGACCCTGCAGAATTCGTCTATTTCCCCAAATTTTAATTCTTTCTAAAATGCAACAAGGCGGTGTCACGTTGCTTTTTGCTTCAGATAACCGAATTAGCAGCAAATGCAAGGCAGGGTGCATCACGCGCCCAGTATCTCCTTTGGGATGTTATTGAATGGGCATCTGTGAAGACGCCAATGTTCACCATGGTTGCTACATCATTTGTGTTCAGTTTTTCACGTGTTTATTCCGATTTTCCGTTCCGGTGCCTGGTTTATTTTGGACATCCGTAAGTTCATCATTAAAAATGTACTTTCCCTCGCAGCACGTAAACGCATAAATTTTTCGTCTGCTGCTGAGAAAGTATTGAAAAATGTGCTATAAACAGAACAACAGAATAAAGTATTTTGGATTTTCTTCAGCGAATCCATTCTGCAAATTAACATGAGCTATTTTTTCTACTTCTCTATATTTTAATGACTGCATTGTGTCCTGTTGCAGATGGGAGTAACCTGGTTCAATTTCAGGATATTATTCTTCCTGTATATATTCTACAATCATGTATCATATAAAATTCGATGCTATATCGGCAAGGTGTGGTTTGTCCTCAAAGGAGGCTCATTTTCGGAACTGCTAAAGCCAACACCGGTGTATCGCGGTAGCCCGGCCACTCTCATTGACGTTGATAATGTTGTACACATGTGCAGTACTAATCCTTGTATGTTCTTCTTTTATACTTTGTAGTGACGAGCCTGGTGGGACGGGTGCCTTGTTTTTTTTTTCTTTTTCAGAGAAAATGTTAAAATCGTTTTTCGTCGAAAATGTGAGAAAATGAGCTGTTAAAAACATTGAATTTATTCAGCAGTTCGTTGGAAATGCCATAGTCAAGCAAATGAGGCTATGGAATAAGAAGGAATACTTTTTTGAGCGGCCGTCAATTCGTGCTGAAAGTTGAACACGCACTACTTCATGATTACTATATATTATTATACTTCTACGACGAACTATCCGGAATTAATTTTTCTTGTTGAAACTGAGAAAACTGATGGCGAAGAGAGCT